GAAGCAAGGAAGTGCTCATACATCAAGCTTAAAGGGCTTCCACAGGCTAAATATGGGACATCTTGATCATCAAAGAAAAGTTAATTTTGGTAAAGTATAGAATAAATTAAAATCCATAAGTGTATAATCATGCTAAAACAAAAAGAAAGAAAAGGAAACAATTGCCACCGTTGGAGGTGATTATTATGCCATCTCCTGACTCAGAAAACTATTAAAGGGGAAACTAAGAATTTACCTGAACTTTTTGGTAGAAATTATAATTTATTCCTTACTGATGAGGGCAACTTTTACAGAACACTGGGGGAACGCGAATTAGAAAATTCCCATTTTACAACAACCAAAGAAATAACTGGCAAGGACCGTCCTTGTCAGATGAAAGATTGCTGGGGAAGCATAACAGCACAGGGCCAAAGAGTCACCACTCTGCAGATTACTTCTTAATTACAAAGAAAAAAGTCTTTTCAATAGAGATGCATGGTATTTATCATCTTAAAAAATGATCAAACTCAGTATCGTTAATAGTGAAACATTACAACATTACATTTCTCTTACTGTGACACAGTAAGAGGTACAGAGCAAAACCTATGAAGTATTTGTACCAAAAATGTTTAACCTGAGTCTATCAAGTCTTCAGACTTCAATGCCAGTTTATAGGAAATACAGGAATAAAGGAACAAATTAAATAAAACTGAGAAAACAATCAGAAAATTCTAGAAGTGACATATTCTACAAGACAAATGGCCTGGGCTCTTCAAAAAAAAATCAGTATTATGTGGCTTCTATATAAACTGTTCTAGACTTAAAAAGAGACTAAAGAGACATGTTTGGAGAAAAAAAATACCAATAGCTAAAAGTTGTCATCTTCAAGACAAATGGGAAAATCTGAACATGAAATGGGTATTAGATGGTATTAGAAAATTACTGTTAATTGCCTTAACTATGGCAATGCATTGGAAGAACAATTAAGTAAAACAATGTATTTTAAGATGCATCTAACGTATTCAAAGTATTAAAGTATTAATGTATTATGTATGATGTCTGCAATACAAGAATGTATACATATAAACACACGTGCAGATATAGAGCAAGTATAGTAAAATATGAACAACTGCTGAATCTAGGGGATAATGGCATAAGGTGATGATAACTGTACTATTCTTTCAGTTTTTCTGTGTATTTAAATTTTTAAACAGATTTTATTTATTTTTAGGAAGAGGGGATAGGAGGGAGAAAGAGGAGGAATCATCAATGTGTGGTTGCCTCTCATGTACCCTTTACTGGGGACCTGGCCCACAAACCAGGCATGTGCCCTGACTGGGAATCGAACCAGCAACCCTTCAGTTCACAGGCCAGCGCTCAATCCATTGAGCCACACCAGCCAGGGCAAATTTTTTAACTTGAATAGTTGAAAAAAAAAAAGTGGGGCTCATAATACAATTCTTCTAGGAAGATATCCCAAATGAACTCTCTTAAAACTCTTAATCCTTTGTTTACAAAGTCCTCTCAGATTAGAACAGTGTATTAATGTTCATTCTGTTTTCTGTTCTCTTATTATTTCATATACTCAGTAGATTTAGTTTTCCAACAGGACTGTAAGCTCCTTCAGGAACAGACATCTTTTAATGTTTTTCTATTTCCTCACAGCTCACAATGAAGTATTTTTTACTCAGCACACTTTTAAATAGTGGTAGTACCAATATACTTTAACTGAGTTAGCTTTTCAATTATTCCTCAATAGAATGGCAGTCCACTTGTATAAAGCATTTTGAGTCACAGCTATCAAAAAATCCTAAAACCTCATTTATGGACTTATAGCAGTTCACATAGAAAAACTGGCATATAATAGTTAAAGAAGTGAGAATATAGGTTTTACACGTCTTCCCAGCACTGTTACGGGCTGGTGTATTATCCAGGCATGGGCTTGACTCCCATGACATTATTCTTCAGTTGAATAGTATCTTCCACCCCCACGCCCATGTGCAAAACAGCAACGCTATTTATCCACAACTCCTGGTGTAATGCAGCTTAACAAGCTATATAATGAACTTTAAATTTTTAAATAAAAGAGCACACATAGATTAAAAATGTTTGACAATACAGCTCATACTCTGCGGGCAGGAATATAAATTCATACAGCCTTGCTGGAAAGCAATTTAACAATACTGAACAACATTAAAAATGCATATATTCTCTGATTCTGCCCTTCCACTGTAAATTTACCCAACAGACACCCATGTACATGAAAAGTATATACACAAAATTAATTGCAGCTCTGTAAACAACCTAAATTTCCAATAATAAGAGCTGCGTGAATGATAGTACATCTATACAATGGAATACCCGCCAGCTTTTAAAAGGAGGCACTCCATGTACTTTATTAACTGAATGCCAAATATTAAATGAGAAAAGCAAAGTGAAGATTAATGGGTATAGTTTCTTAACATTTGTGTAAAACAACAATTAAAAATAAAAATGCTGCCCTGGCTGGCATGGCTCAGTGGACTAAGTGCCGGCCTGCGAACCAAAGGAATACTGGTTCGATTCCCAGTCAGGGCACATGCCTGGGTTTTGGGACAGGTCCCCAGTAGGGGGCGCATGAAAGGCAACAAGCATTGACGTTTCCCTCTCTTTCTCCCTCCCTACCCCTCTCTAAAAGTAAGTGAATAAAACCTTTATTAAAAATGACAAAGAATATATAGTTGTACATGCTTGTAAAAGCATCAACCATCTCTGGAAGGGTAAACACAATACGGGTAACAACAATTTCCTTTGGGGAGGGTAACAAGATGGATGAAAGGACAGTAGAAAAAAGATTTTTCAATTTTTCTGTGTACCTTTTGAATTTTGTTTCATATGTATGTAAATGTGTTACTCATTTTTTAAAGAGTTTTTTTTAAACACAGCTCTGCACCAGTAAGACTTATTTAATGATATTCATCCTGAAAGCATACCATGCCTTGGTATCATAGCAATTTTAAAAGAGGCTTCAGTAAATTCAACCAGATGAAATGTTTCCAGATAAAAACAAAGCATCCTAGAAGATAGAAGCCTACCAAGAAGAGAAATGGACATTTATTACCTCAATAGTTTTACTTCAGGATTTTACCAGAACCTGATTCAAGTCTGGTCACTGACAACATTAACCCCCCCACCCCCCCACCCACCCCGCCCCGCCAGAGCTCTAAAAGGAGAGGTCACTAAAGTACCAAATGGACACCAACCACCCCTCCCTAAGTGTCACTATAACTTAACACTCCTCGTGTACAAACAAGGAAAAAAAAGACTCTCCAGCTCTTTCCTAGGGCAAGGACAACATATGCCCCCCAAATTCCTATGTTTCCTCTGTGTCATCTCTTGGCTCCACTGTAACCATGGCAACATAAAACAGCACAAAAGACAGCTGAACCATGCAAAGGCCAGAGTTAAATGGGAAAGTGAAAAAGAATATACCCGTATACTTTAAGGCCCAAGAACATTAGGGCCTAGAATTAAAAATGACAACCAAAAAAAGCCTTGAGAGAAGAATATCAAAGAAAGAACACAAAGGAAAGAGAACAGAAAATAAGGTTTATTAATATATCCCATTCCCAGTTATCCAGATAGGAGGCAGAGTTGGCAAAGATACCTGAAAAACAGAAATGCACCCCGTCCCGCCACCCCCACCGTTGGGGCCCAACAATTTGGCTATTCATTTCAGTGCTTTTCAGCAAACCCTCTGTTTGTGAGAGTTTATCATCTCCTCACCCTATTCTGATGACAGAGGTAAGAAACAGCAAAGTATGCAAAAGAGTGGCAACACAGGAGCAAATGAAAGGATCATGCATAGTCTGCCAGCAGGGCCTCGATCACTGAAATATTACTGTAGTGTAAAGTTCCTAGTTTTAAATTGCTGTTTGTAACTTGCACTCTCATTACTTAGAGTTAAAACCTCCACTGGATAAGTTATTGTCCACCAGTAGTTTCAGATTGCTTTTGTTTTCATGTGACGTTCACAAAGCATCAATAATGTACAGCTAAAACGAAAGCGCTAAGGAACGCCTTCTTTTACTAAGAAAGAGGTAAATAGGTCACATAAATAAGAGGCCTGGAGAGGAGAGAACCTGGATATATTGATTTACAGCTACTACTCTAAACCTTACATTGTGTACTCTTTTTCTATACCTTATCTAATTCTTTGAAGATAAGAATTTTGCTACAAGGAAACCCCCTTTACTTTCCTTTTTGACCCTTAGTCCTCAGAAATCCTTCCAAAATCCCCTGCTTAGAGTAACTGAATGGGCTTGGGCACCTACTCCAAAATTTAGGGGATGTTTGCATTAAAGACACAGTACAACGATGGGAGTCAAGAAAAGTAATGCTAGAACTGTAAGCTGTAGTGACAGTTTCAAAAGAAGGGTCAGCGTGGGGCACGCTGGCTCTAGAAAGCGTTTGTAGCCTGGGAGTCTCTAAGGCAACACCAGATGCAAACAGTCCTCTGTCAATAAAGCCCTCGAATAATTTAAATTCTCCCTTTAGGATAGGAGCAACACGCTATCTGGCAGCAAGTCTAGCCCACTGCCGGGGAAGAAGGCGGTCGCGTGGTCAAGGGGCTCTTTATCCCGCAGGTCCCTGCAACACAGCGATGCGCATGCGCCCCGAGGGCAGCGAACAAGCACCCCGAGCTCGTTCACACTCGCGCATGCGCAGTCACCCATCTCGCCGCAGGCGACAGCTCACTATTTGGCAAGGGGGATGGGGCTGGGAAAATGATGTGGGGGGGGCTGAAGGCAGGGGGCGCGTTTGTGTCTCCTGAATGCTTGGGATTGAGAGAAGGAACGGCTGATTAAGCTCTGGCATTCACAAGTCACGTAACCCGGGATGTGGGAAAAGGGGCAGAGAAGAGTATATGTGTGTCTGGAGGAGGGGGCGGGTGGAGTGGGGGGGTCAATCACCTCTTAAGGGAGGCGCCCCCCACTCCGACAAGACAACCCTCTCCCTCGACTCTCCTCCCCCCCACTCACCTGAGAACGGCGGCAACAGCTGCTGGTCCCCGTCCCCCTGCGCTCGCCTCATACTGTCCGCAACATCCGGGACCTGCGGGACCGCCGATACACAAATACACACACACTCTGAACGCGCACACTCACACACACACACACACACCGACACACACCGGCCGGAACGTCATAGCGTCAGCACGTCGACGCAGCGAGCGCGCACCCGCCGGGCCCCACCCCGCGCGGCCTCCGCCCCTTCTACTCCCCGCCCCTCTCTGGGTTCTCCTGCCCCTCCTCCTACTTCCTCAGGACTCCGCCTACTTTCTCCCAGCGCGCATGCGTCTCAAGGATCTCAAGGGCCCGGGGATTTGAAAGGAAGGAGGGGCTTTAGAAGAAATAAGCGGGAACTCGAAGGGGGTCGCATGAGGGCCCGTGCAAGCTGCTCCGAGGTGTGAGGACCGAATAGAGGCACACCGAGGGGAGAGGGGTGGGCGGTGTAACAATAAAGGCATTTAACAACAGCAACTTATATTTGCAGGCAATTTATGAATTACCAACAACTTTTACATGCATTACGTCGTTTTTTCTGTCAGTAAAACGTATTTTGAACTTCATGATAATGCTAGAGATTCTTTTAAGTAACTTAAAATTTAGCATTTAGAAACAAAAATAAAAAGGACCATTTTGGGGGTGAGGAAGGTCGACATGTAAATAACAACTGAAAAGAAGCTGATTCAGTGGTAATTTGTTGTCTTGGACACCTGGGTCCCCAGTTGGCCTCACATCTTAGCTCTCAGGGGCCATCAGTGATTCCTGAGCTTAGGAAAAGAAAAAAGTCTCAGAGTATCTTGGCCCTGAGAGGAAAAATAAGTCATTTCCCACTTACAGTAATAACATCAGTGATGGGATGTTTATTATTGCTACGATTCTTGTCTTTAGCTTAAACTTTAAAAATTATTCTTACTGAATCAAGCCAAATAATCCTGAGCAGGCATTGTCTCTTACACACTGAGATAGTATCATTATGTAGACACACACACACATACACACGCAGATGCTGAAGGAGGCATTGGACCCAAAAGATCAACCAAATGAACCTGCAGGTCGTGGGGTGACAAAGTGTGTGTCCTGCTTTGGGAAAAGCTTCCGGAAGCCCTACTGCTGTGGGACCGTCTCCTGGAGACACTGCTCACTGTCTCCCGCCACAAGTGTGCAGGTGGCTGGAGAGTCTATTCGACAAGGAAAGCTGGGAGCACCTGAGCAAAGAAAGCTATAGGGGTTTGGAAAGAAATCCCTGACAATACCAGGCTGCCTTCCACTTTCAAGTACACAGGCAGCCCCTACAATTCCAAAGCTTAAAATGTCCTAGGAATCATGGGCAAAACACCCCAAGCTCCTAGAGCTTGCCCAAACTGAATTTCAGTAAAAGTGATCAAGAAATGGGGATTCTAAATTTGTGCCTTCCCCCCTTGAAACAAAAAGAGCTTTTGTCACCTATTAGGCTGATGCTTGAAACTTTCCAATTAGATTTCACTCAACATGATTCATTATCAACATTATCAACAAACATTCATTCCTTTACCTGAAGCCAGCAAGGTTTTTAGTCCTTGTGAAAATTCAAAGTGCCCCACCGGTAACCCAGTAAGCAGTTACTAGTAATTGACTCCTGGTGTCACAAGGCTGTCCGTTCTTGACTTTAGCTTTCACAGGACAACGGGAAAGAAACAAAATGAGTATTCACTCCTTGGAGGAGGAGCATGAAGGTGGGGAAGGGATGGTCAGAGCAAGGAAATAGGAGGCAAGGACAATATGCTTTAGCTACCTCACAACTTGGGCTAATCATTACAGTTGAGCCAGATGTGGGGGCTAGTGAGTCTGCCAGCAACTTCTCCAGGCTGGCCTTGAATCCCTAGAGATCTGGCAGGACCTAAGAGTCCTATCCCCATCTGTAGCCGGATGCAATGAGGCTCCCATTCTATGATGGGGACCATACCGCCCGCCTGAGATGTCATCCCACCAGCCTCTGTACAAAGGACTTTGATTTGGTGTGGATCTGATTAAATGACTGCCGACGTCCTTGGGAGCACTGTGCAGAAGAATTTTAAACAGCTTCTCCTTTTTAATATGCACTTCCTCTTCGGTTTTAATTATTTTGTTCCTACATTTTCCCTTTCAATTTACTAAAATCTAGAAATGTAATTAGAGCAGAGGCTGGGCTCAGAGAAAGCTGCCAGGATTTCTACAACATGATTAAATATACTAGGCATCCCTTTAGTGTGGGGCTGAAAAATAGGATTCTCATTATCATCTTCCCTTATCCAGGGAAGAATCAGCGCCACGTACAGATACGGATTTATTGAAAAAGCAGCACTAATTAAAAACTCACCCAGCCTCCTGACGAGGTTTGAGGGGGTGGGAGAGGGCAGTTATTTCATTATTTGCTGCATTTATTGTTTTGTTGTTGTAACCGCGAGAAGCCCCCTCTCACAACGCTGTCCTCGGAATAAAATTCTTCTCTCCTCAGGAGGGACTTAATGAGGCTTTTATCTATGCAACAACAATCAAGCTTACAATGGCACCAATTCAATTCACTGCCCCTTGTGACGGTAGGAAACATGCAGAACTCGTTTTCTTAATTCCAAAACACAAATGACAAAGTGTTCCTTGGCCTTCAGGAATCAGGTCTGAGCTAGGGCTTTGTCCCGAATGACCCTGAGACGCCTGGTATTTATTTAGCCAATAAGGACTTTCAGCTCTACTTTACAGTCCAGTAAGTTACAGGGGAGATAAAGAGGGACAGAATGGGACAGAAGTGAGTCCAAACTCCCGTTTTGGCTATGAGCACTGTTGAAAGATGAAGTCCTCTCCTTTCTATACAGCTATTCAGATGGCCAGTCAATGAACACCCAGCCCAGCACCCTGCCATGGTGGAGCCCCACACAGAAATCAGAGATGGATCAGCAGGAAGATCCTTAGTAGGGATGTGGTACCGTACTCTGGAGGTCTCCAGTCTAAAGAAACAGAGACAGGTGACACACCCTGGGACCCGGGTGTAAGACCACACACAAGGAAGCATGCCAACAAGAATACATTGGTAAAGTTATGCTGGGGCCATGCTGGGGTTAATAGAAATTGGCAGTGGAAAAATATTGATTGATTGACTACATTTCACAGTGAGGCAGCTGTGGCTTAATGAGTGAGATTCAGCCTCCCTATCTGGAGACTTCATTTCAAACCCAGCACTGACACTATAATATAAACTTGGACAAATGTCTCTGAGCCTCCGTTTTTCCATCAAAACCATGGAGAAAATAATGCCCAACATATCATATTGTTGTGCGAGTTAACTGAGATAATATTGGAGCATAGCACAGTCCTGGGTAAAGAGTAGACCGTGCTGATTTGTGGGTATGTTACCAAATGTGGTTTTTTAGGGTCAGTGTTCATCCAGTACCAACTGGTCTTCAAGTCCTACTAAGCTGTGTACCATGCTCACTCCTTTGCTCCGTGCCCTTTTTAGGGGAGCATGAAATCGAGGAAACAGCATGGACTTCTCAACCAGAGCAGCACTACTTGCAAGCTGGCATCCCTGAACAAGCTCTCTGGCTGGGGAGTCTGTTTCCTCACAGGTCCACCAGGGTCTCTGGTTTGCAAGAATTGCACCACCTCTGGCTATATCAACCCAAACTGGAATTTACTGAGGAAATATCTCTGGCTCCCCAAATGGACAGGAGCTGAAGAATCAGACTTGGAAATTCAGCCGAAAAACCAAAGGCTAGCAGAGGAAGAACAGTCCTCGTTAGCAGGCCATTCTGGCCAGGAGGTCCAACTGTTGGGCACTGCCCCAAAGTGCCGCCACCAGACATGCGGTCACAGCTGCTGCCACTGGAAAGGATGTCTAATCTTCCTTCCATGTGCCCCATGCTCAGCACCCTGCTGGCCAAACCTAGGCCACATCCTGAGGCCTCACCACTATGGTGGGCAACAAAACACATCTCGCTGCCACAGTGTCCACTGTGTAATATTCCATACTCCTCACTGACAGCATCTATCGCAGGGGACTCATCTCAAAGAGGAAGCGGGTCAGATGCTGGACTGCCAGCCCTCCCATGTCATCTGTGAAACGGGGCATTCATTACAGGGTAATAAGCAGCACGGAACGACATGGCATTTGTTCCAAAGTGCTTGGCACGTAAAAGGCATTCTGTTACTTTACCTCTCTCTTTAATAAAACAAAAGGCTGGGAACGGTGTAGTTATTTGAGGATTTGATCAATGTGCTTATAGATATTGACATTCTGAGGTTTCACCGAGAAAGAGGGCTAGGAAACATATCTGAAGGTAGAGTAACCGCAAAGAAACGGCAGTGGGAAAGAGAAGGGGAAATGGTAAGTTTGCAAATGTCTAGCTTTCCTCTGATTTTTGTCTTGAACTGACAATACAGCTCCATCTCCATCTCATTTATCTTTAAAACAGGTCTAAAAATTGCCCTGAAGTCATTGCTCATTGCTTTAAAACAAGTTTTTAGCAGATTAATTTATTTTCAACAAAGAATATATTACCAAATATAGATTATCTTCACCATTATGAATTATTTTCAGCGGGGTTTTTTTTTTTTTGGTCCTATTCTGATTGGGATTGATCCACCACCTGTTGGCATTTTCCCTAAAAGAACATTTACCTAAATGCAGATAATGAGCTTAGCATAAACACATTTTTTTTTCTCTGCCTCAACTCAAATAGAAATTACTTTGGATTCTACAATTTTAGATTACCCTTGCCATGGCTCTACTTTATCAAAGAGAATTGATTTCAATTGCAAGTTTACTCTGCGTTAGAATCCTATTTTGAAAAGGGAATTTAATCTAAAATTCAATTATAGAAGGTCTGTGCCAAAGTGAGCAGTCAACTAGCGCTTACTGAATGCTCCCTGGGCGCAGGACTCTACCTACCTCGCCACAGAAGGAGGCAAAAGAAATAGAAGTATTGTCCCTATTCATGGAGAGTTTTCCGTCTCAAATACAAAATAAAATTCGAAACTGGAAGGAACCATGAAGATTCTCCAACCCAGTGGTTCTTGAGTGTCACGTGCTTCTCAAGCTCTGGGCTTCTGACGATTTGTCTCCAAGGCGCCACAGCTGGGCAAACGGGACTGGGCCCGACAAGCCAACCAGCCTGCTTCTCTTT